AATGCCAGGATAGAACCTAACCCCCCCAAATGACCCCTTTTTGGAAAGTAGACACCCTAAGGAATTTGATAAGAAGCATAGTAAGTATTTTGCAGATCTCATTTGTTGCCACACGTTTTTGGAAAATGAATAAAAAAAAACAAAAACATATTTTTTCTATTTTTTTTTATATTTCAAAACCTTGTGAGAAAAAATGAGATTTGCTAAATACTCACCATGCCTCTTTTTAAATTCCCTGGGGTGTCTACTTTCCAGAAAGGGGTCATTTGGGGGGGGGGGGGGGGGTTGGTGCTATCCTGGCATGTCTGGGCCTTCAAAACTGTGATAGGTATCGAGAAAGTGAAATGAGGAAGTTACGCACCTTCAGGCTTTCAAAGTGGTCATTGGATTTCAGGCTTCTGTATGTGGCTAGGCTCCCAAAAAGTCTCCCACATGTGGTATCCCCATACTCAGTAGAAGTAGCAGAATGTATTTTGGGGTGTAATGCCACATATACCCATGGTTTGTGCAAAAAATAAATCATTTAAGTGACAACTTTGTGTAAAAAAAAAAAAAAAAAAAACTTTTTGTCATTTTCCAGGAACATGTGGAAAAAAAAATAAATCTTCCCTGGACTCAATATGCCTCTCAGCAGATAGCTTAGGGTTTCTACTTTACAAAAAGGGGTCATTTGAGAGTGTTTGTACTATCCTGGTATTTTAGCACCTCAAGAAATGTGATGAGCAGTCAGAAAGTAAAAGCTGTGTAAATTCCATTATCTGTACCATAGTTTGTAGACGCTATAACTTTCACACAAAGCAATAAATGTACACTTACTGGGATTTTTTTAACCAAAAACATGTAGCAGAATACATTTTGACCTAAATTTATGACGAAATGTTAGTTTTTTTGGATATTTTTTATGACCGAAATGAGAAAATATTGAAATTTTTTTTCTTCAAAAATGTTTTTGTTTATAGCGCCAAAAATAAAAAGTGCACAAGTGATCAAATACCACCAAAAGAAAGCTCTATTTGTGTGAAAAAAAGGACATAAATCTCATTTATGTACCGTATTGCATGACCGCACAATTGTCCATTAAACTATTGCAGCGCTGTATAGTAAAAAAATGTCGTAATAATTGCAATATCTATACCATAGTTTGTAGACGCTATAACTTTCACACAAAGCAATCAATATACACTTATTGGGATTTGTTTTACCAAAAACATGTAGCAGAATACATTTTGGCCTACATTTATAACTAACTTTGCGTTTACTATATATTTTTTATAGCTGAAAGTAAAAAATATTTTTTCTTCAAAATTTTTGGTCTTTTTTTTGTTTATAGCATGAAAAATAAAAAGCGCACAGGTGATCAAATACCACCAAAAGAAAGCTCTATTTACGTGAAAAAAGGACATACATTTCATTTGGGTACAGCATTGCATGGCAACGCAATTATCAGCTGAATTAGTGCAGCGCCGAGTAGCAAAAAGAGGCCTGGTCAGGAAGGGGGGTAAATCCTCAGGAGTGCAAGTGGTTAACAAAGTATTAGGTTCTCTGGGTTCCTGCAAAGTTCAGTCATGGGCATAAGATGAATCAGTGTTGGCTCTCATAAAAAGACTCTTAGTTGATATTCTTTGTTTGATGATAAAGATCTCCAGACTCCTTTTACAGTTGTAGCACCCTCCTAGATAGGTGCTATGTTTAGATTTAGTATGTATAGGTAAATTTAGTTACACTGTAGTTAGTGTTGTTGTGATTGTTGTTAGGTAAAAGCATAGTTTGCACACTGTAATCAGTGCTGCTGTGTTCTGCTAGTCAGGTCTGCTCGGTGTGTTCAGCTGCTGCCAGCCTCACTGCTCCCTCTGCATCCAGAAAGCTTGAAAAGTTTCTGGAGGATAGGTGTGGAGCTATGCATATGGCCGCATGAGTATTGATACAGCCCTGGCCTATCCCAGAGAGGCAAGCTCTGATGACATGCTGGGATACTGTATATCAGGTATCACTAAATGGCGGACCGTGGTCCGAATACAGACCGGGTGACAGTCCTGTGTGGACCGCGGCCACACCACTTAGCAGCCTGAGTGGACGACTCTCCTCCCACTGCAGCAGCTGTGTTAGAAATTGTGAGGAATGGCAGGGTGGACTCCTATTCTGTATGTACTCACCTGCCACCGCTGTTGAACAGGGAAGAGGGTGGGAGGAATGCAAGGAAGGACTCCTCTTCTGAATGTATCAGTTTGCTGCCTCTGCCGCTGAACTCAGAGCAGGGAGGAGGCACTGTAGGTTTACAAGGGGATCAGGGAAGGGGATCCAACCTTTCATATTAACAAGTGGGTCACTTGCTTTTTAAGAAGAGTTGGGCAGCTCACGTTCTCAGTGGAGACCTTCTGTGCCTCCTGCCCTCCTCCCTGCTCTGAGTTCAGCAGCTGCAGTGGCAAGTCAGTACATTCAGAAAAGGAGTCCTTCCTTCTATTCCTCCTGCCCTCTTCCCTAATGTGACTGTAACAGCAGCAGTGACGACGGTGGTGGCAGGTGAGTACATACAGAACAGGAGTGTATCCTGCCATTCCCCCCACCCTCCACAATGCTGAGTTAATGTAGGGGGAAGATTATAGGGTGGAGCAGGTTGTGATGTCAGCGGGGGGATCTGTGATATGGAGGGCTGTGAGAGGGGGAACTGTGATATGGGGGAGATGTGAACGTGGACTGGCTGTGAGAGGGAGAAGCTGTGATATGGGGGGCTGTTAGAGGGGGGGGCTGTGATATGGGGGGCTGTGAAGTGAGAGGGGGGAGCTGTGATATGAGGGGATGTAAAGTGAGAGGGGCTGTGAAGTGAGGGGGGCTGTGCAGTAGGGGTGTTGTGAAATGGAGGGCTTTGAGGGTGGAGCTGTGATATGGGGGCTTTGAAGTGAGAGGGGGGAGCTATGATTTGAGGGGCAGTGAAGTGAGGGTGGGGGGGAGCTGTGAAATGGGGGGCTGTGATAGGGTAGAGTTGTGATTGTGAGAGGGGGGGAGCTGTAATACTGAGGGGGCTGTGATGTGAGAAGGAGAGCTGTGATATGGGGTAACTGTGATGTTGGAGGGGGGAACTGTGATATATGGGGCTTTGATGTAAGAGGAGGGAGCTATGATATTAAGGGTCTGTGATATCAGGAGGGGGGAAACTGTGATGTGGGGGGTTGTGATTGCAAAGGGGACTGTAATGTCAAGGGGGGCTGTAATTTAAGCAGAGCTATAATGTTGGGGGGCTCTGACGTGAAAGGGAGTTGTGATGTACGAGGGGCTGTGATGGGAAAGGGGGGGACTGAGTACATAAATTAGGGACTGTGATGTGAAAGACCTGAGTAATAAAAGAAAAATTAGATTTAGACCTCTGCAGAAAGCAAATGTTACCGGGAATTTTAATTCAGTACCCCTGCTGTATATGTTCAGAGAGCACTCTGAGCTCTGGGTCTTTTCCTGTATAGGATTGGTCTAGCCTGGAGGGGGCGTGCTGCCATCCCAGGCAATGCTGCTGCATCTGCTGTCATATGCTTCGGGTGAACGACCTAAGGGCCTTCCCCAAAAAAGCAGTCCAATCAGTGAAAATGTGAGAACAACATCCAAATCCTCCACTTGTTACTGTGTAATTTTCCCTGGTGATCTTCAGGATAATCTTCTCATATGAAAACAACTGAAGAAATATACATTTCTCACTTAGTGCTCCAATTTTAGTTATCTTCAGTTATAGACCTCTTACATTACAAGAGATCCACAAGTGCTTACTGAATGCAAAGAGGTTACAGTCTCCAACTCCTCTTGATGTTCAGCTTATAGGCAAAAGGGGTAAAATCTCCAACTCCTCCTTATGTGCAGTACGACTCAGAAGAAAATAAATACCATAGTGTTCACTGCAAAAATATATTGGAACACTGCTACATGATTCTGAACACTTACCTGTGACTGCAGTCCTCCATAATCAGACACAAATGGGTTGATTTACTAAAGACAAATAAACATTGAACTTTGCAAGTGCAGTTGTACTCTGCAAGTGCAGTTCTTCAGAGCTTAGTGAGGGCACATTCACACCTGCATTTTTGCCAGACATCTGGCAAATGTGTGAAAAAATCAGAGGGGTCCCTGCAGCTAGCTGTGGGAGGCAGCCCCATTGAAAGCAATTGCAGCCACGTGCATTAAATTGCTATGCAGTCATTACCTGCAAATAATCAGTCCTGTTGTGGTTTATTCAGACATACAGTATTGGGATTTGTGGTATATTTATTGTGCTATATTTATTATAAGCAATCACATCTTTTTATATTATTATAATATTTTTAAAAAATTTTTTTAAACTAAAGATGAATAGCGCAGCACTATATTTGGGTTATTTTTTGTGCTTACCAGTGTGAAATACTTGACTGCTCTCTATTAGGGGTAACATAGGCAGTGAGGGATAGTTGTACATACAGTATATTCTCTTTTTTATTATATTATTTCACAAGCCTATGTTTGAGAGACACTAATTATGAGGTCTCTCTTATGCATAGATTGCACAGAATGAGAAACATATCTGTCTCCTCTTGCATCCCATTATATAGGTGTGTTTAGTCTTGTGATGATTGTTACTTCCTCACACAGTCATATATACATGTTTTATAACACTATGTCAGTCGGAGGCAGAGTTCTGAAAATTGTATATAGCTTAACTCAAAACCTAGACTGTAGATGTGTATCACAAACCAGAATGGCCTGGATGGAGGGGGCATCCCATTAACTGATTTTATAGCCCCCGATAAGTCATTATGATTACACTACCCTGACAGATTTTGTTTTTCAGGGTCCTCCTTAAGATAGTCATCAGAGGTACAACAGTAAATTCATGTTCTTTAGGGCTGTTTTTAAGATCTTTATTCCACTTGAGCTGTTTAAGAAGAACTTTGCTTAATAGTGCTCTGGCTTAATGCTGGTAACATCAGTTTATTAACCCCATAGGATGTGTCCATTAATGGATGTGGAGATGCATTCCTGGGATTATATGTTTTGGGAGAAGTGCAGGGGCAGACTGACCATTTGGAAACTGCCCGAGGGCCTGGGGTCAGTAGGGGGCCCCATGAGATGCCCCTGGTACCTTTTTCATAGGCTTTTTTGAGTTTGGGCAAGGACACAGGGCCCCCATGATCCCCTATTGCCCGGGAGCCCCATGAGTTGTCAGTCCACCCCTGGGAGAAGGTCACTGCTGGTTATGGGGATGTAAGCCTGCTTGGTGTCGTCCCTAAAAACTGTCACTGTTTACATTTTTTTTTAAAACAGTGTTTCCCCACACAGCTTTGGGGTGCTCAGACCTCATTACCATCCCAAGTCCTCAGATCACCAATCATTTGATTGGAAAGCTCTGGCTCTGACTCTGAGCAGGGGCATGTTGGACCTCTGTAAAGAGATCAATGCTTCCCCAAAGAGAACAAGGGTCCCACTTTGCAGCAAGATGACAAGGAACATGCTTTTTTACCCAGGCTGTGGCTGATTTTTAAAGAAAGCAAACTAAAAAAACGTTGCACATCCTTTTATTTAAAGCACTCGGAATGTATTTAGTTAATTTAATCTGAAAGGGCTTTAAAATATTATCAAATCTTCCAATTTCTGCAGAAGCCCACAAATGGCTGGCATGGAACCAAGAATAAATATAAGGTTGCCTAGGCCCTATTTATCAACTTCTCTACAATGGCAGACAAAGTGTGGTTGATTTACTAAAACTGGAAAGTGCAAAATATGGTGCAGCTCTATATAGAAACCAATCAGCTTTCAGGTTTTATTGTCAAAGCTTAAAGTGTTACCTAACCCAGGACCCTACATTCATTATATCTGGTCTCCCACAGTACACAGAACATGGAAATGCAATTATTTTAGTAAATATAAACTTCTAAATACCTTTTCTCATCAGCAGTTAGAGCCATCTTGTGACTTTTATCAGTGTTCAGCAGAATACATGTTAAAGCTTGTAGGAGGAGTTTTCTTTCTGCTATGAGAGGATGCAAAACCCCTGACCTCTGTCTGGATAGTACAGATTGGCCCTGTGCTGATCACAAACCGAGTATATGCAGAGTGTCTCCACACAATACGTCTTATCAGGAGATAAGAGGGAGCTACTGGAAGAAGGGGAGGATCATAGAAGTCAGGATCAAACAGCCTTTTTACACAATGCAGAAGATTAACCCCTTAGGTTCCACAGTGAGTATAACAAGCATGCTTTACTGCATTTACAGACTGATTTTATGTGGTGGGTTTAGTAACACTTTAATTAAACAAGCTGAAGTTAGATCAGATTAGCTCCCATGCATTGCTGCACCAGTTTTTGCATTCTCCAATTTTAGTAAATCAACTCCAAAGGGTCAAAGGTGTATACCAATAGTGACCTTGGATTTACAGCTGGGCTTTATTGCTCTTAAATCATGTTTATTGTGTCTGTTTGTGTTTCATGACTGTTCATTGTTGTAATGATCAGATTTTTCTGGCAGGTTCCTGATTCCCTTCCAAGCACTGTTCCCATTAGGCTAAATATCTGTGTGCAAGTACATGTATCTCTGGCTTGGTGTAATTCTTCTCTCATTGTGAAAAAGCAGCAGCAGTCATCAAGAAAACCATTAGGATCTTTTCTGGACTGTATTGCACTGCAGTGATACACACCACTATCCACAGCTGATGAGAACCTCAACCAAAACCCTTTGCAGAATATGGGCAAATTCTTTACTATTCATCAAAGACAGTGATTAATGACCCTTAACGGGCTATCCCAGACCGATCTAAAGCTCTCATTTGTCTTATAATTGTACATTTTAAAGAGCAGAAATATTAATATATTACAGATAGATAGTGCTAAAATCACATATCCTTTATCAAGATGTTGAAATGTAGTAAAAAACCATATAGTGCTGCACATTCAAAATAATAAAATACATGTTTGTATTACATTAAAAAAATAACTAAATGAATTAAATTATAAATGCATGTAAAGGCTAGATAAGTAGTTGTTACATCATTAGCATTTTGTTAGGTTCCGTTGGGAATGTTTGGTATAAAGCTAGGAAAATACCAATTAAAAGAAAATAATCAGGTATGCAGTGCAATATAATCATACATCTACAGTACTATGAATGTCCCTTGGCATCTAGAAGTATTAAACTATATTAAATGCTGAACTGTATGTGTTTATACTACAACAGAAGAAATAGCAGGCAATGAAACATAACTTGCTGGTAAGAAACAAGGTTTGGTGGTCTTGGGGGCATAGATGTCAATAGGTTTATCTGCAAAAATCTAAATTTATTTATTTAGGCATTGTTTTTCACATTTTTACCACTTTACATTATTTTAGACGGTTTTAATATTAATATTGGAAGACTTTCCTTGCAGATGTTGGCTGGGAAACTTTCACAAAAAGCTCTGACTCCCACCAATGCTATCATGTGATTACTTCATTTTTTTACTTCACGACTGTAACTTCAGGGTTGACAATATATTTTTTGTCCTCAAGAACACCTATTAATTTCAACCCTGTGCCCAGCTACGTTTCGTCAGTCACTTCCAAACTGCAAATGTGCCCATGTTGACATCACTAGGAGCTATTTTCAGCACAAGTCTAATTCTAAGTGCAGACCCTAAAGAGGAGTCTGGACCCCCCCAAAAAAAACTAAAGTCAGCAGCTACAAATACTGTAGCTGCTGACTTTTAATAAACACAAAAACTCCGCTTTAAAATATCCATCATATAAACGCTCATAAAAACATAACTTTTAATCATATAATAAATAAAACCCCAACCACTATGGTTCAGGTTTCACAAAAAAACTGTCCCCCTTTAGTCCTTAAAGGTGACACTACCACATAATAAATGGGTACTTACCTGTACAGGCATTTAGTGGTGTCCTCACCGGAGCCAATTCTTCAATCCGCTATCAGTGCTGGTGCCGCCATCTTTATTAAGGGGAACCGCCAGTGAAGCCTCAAAGCTATTCCTACTGTGCGTGCTAATTTGTGCACAGTGTCATCCTTCACTCTTAGGGCATCCTATTTATTTTATTGAGCTCCTCACGAGTGACAAATGGGGCAAAGTTTATGTATCTTTTTGGGCTTTGCATATATTTTACTATGCATTCTTGCACACTGAAAACTGCAGTTCCCGCTTGGCACATTTGGCTGCCACTAACAAAGAATGGCCCCAGAAGTCTGACATGCATTGTTTGCACATTTCATGAATGTATGTAAAATCATGCACTTTTGAGTGCATTTATACACTACACTAGTGTGAATGCAGGCTCATAGAACACCTGACACTTTGACACATATTCTTTGCCACAAGTTTCTACCATGTGCTGAGTAGTATGTGCATATTGTGTAAAACAAAATAAATCTTTGTTTCAATTCTATACATCAGTGTTCCACATGCTATGTCCTATACATATTGTAGAAAATATATCTATTTTTGCTTTAATCTGATATTTATATTTGTCGCACTAGCACATAGCACACATCAAAACTCAATTCAATGGAGACCATCTTTCATAATTGCCACTAATCTTCATGTTACCTCCAATACCCAGTGGAAATATCAATTTAAAAAGGTATTGTACCCAAGAAACACCACTAAAACCTTTATTGGCTTTATTTATGAAATACATTATTGCTCTGATGAGCCAGCACAGGTATATGTGCTTTCTTAATACAACATTTGCATATTCAGTACCGCGTAGAGGGTGATAAAGAAAATAAATAGCAAACATAGTGCATAAAAGTGCCATGCATTTTGATCAGCTAAGTTTTTGTGTTATTTGCTCAAAAGCATAATAGGCATTGTAAATAGTAATATAAATGTCATTATACAGGGACACCAGATTTTATGTGTTTCACTTTTAGGCTAATAATTTAATGTTCTACAGGGATGGTGTCAGCTAAATCTTTACTTAAAATAATTTTTATTTTAAATAACATCACTAAACATTGTTTCAAGCTACAATAGGCATATAACAGCACCCTATTATGATTTTTAGCAAAACCTCAAAGAAAGCACATTTTTCTACACCAGTGCCATACTTGCGACCTTTCTGAAATGGGAATGTGGAGCACCTTTTGGCACCCACATTTTTAGACACTGCTAACCACACATACAGGGATTTCCTCTTTTTTAAGGCATAGAGGTTTGTATCTGCAAATTACTCCTCTTTTAGGAAAAAATATCCTGCTCTCTTTGTATTGGTTCCTTTGTGCGAAATATCAAGTGTTCCTGCCAGTCCCTCTGCTTTCCTAGGAAAAAAACTGACCACACTAGGCAGGATAACACAGTGTGGTCAGTTCTCTAGCAGTGCTAGGAATTTGGTGTGCTGTTCTCCAATGTTCAGCCTTGTCCTGACACACCCTACCAGACAGTTTTTAACTGGGAAGATCAGTGCTATGCTGTTTCTTCTCCCCTGGCACTTATGCAGCTGAGAACAGAAGGTATGTAATCACTTATAAAAAAGGGAAAAAGTGTATATCATTTTTTTTTATATCTTTAATATTTTTATTATCTATACACAAATGTGTTGACTTTCATTTCTATTTTAAACTGAAAGGGTTGTTTTACAAGGTGAGGTTCTACAATCACTGGCTATATACTAGCAAAATGTAATTCTAATTTTGTTTTGTTTTAAGAAAGTTAGTTTGATTTTGTAATTGCGTGTTGGATCAAATCAATGTTCATTATCAACCAAAGTGACCAGCAAATTTGTAAGTGGTTTTAATTTCCATTCATTATAAAACCAAATGTCAAAAGCAAACAAATCCTTTCAACAGACATTCATTAAGTCATTGAGTGTACTGAGAATTTTTACAAGAAGAGTAAGCCTGTTCATTTGGACATCTACTAGTAAATGGTCAGCTTTAGGCTACTCAGTATATACTGAACTGTCGGACATAATGTAGTAAAAGAGAAAACATAAAACCTTTGTAGGTTGTCAGATAGTCACTTGACAATGAAAGTTGTATAAATGTTAAATTAAGTTAGAGCGTTTGTTAACTTTATTTTAAATCTATTTAAATACATTGTAAA